GTGAGTCATAAATCGATCAATGTGTCGAGAGTCGAAACGTAATGAAATCTGTGACAGTCACTTCGAAAATTCAGGTATTTTTATGGCCAAAATTCGAGATAAGTCACGGTCAAAATTCGAGTTAAGTCACCGTGAAAATTCGAGTTAAGTCACCGAGCCAAGAGCAATAAGTCAGGTGTGACTGGCATTGGCACTATCCTTCCATCATAGGAAGATACTATGAAAATACTTAATTTCCAAAAGATTCAGTGCTGTAGGATACACGTTACAATTATTTTTTACTATTATTTGACAACAGGAAACACAAATTTTAGGTTATGAGAAAAACATTACAAGCATTGTATACTGGCAAAAAGTTACCAACAATTAGATTAAAAGTAACACGTAACTGGTGATACACAATTGATAATAACTAGCGGATGTTAAGTCATACGTGATTGTTAACGGTTATGAATAATGTGTATAAAATATATAATGGCATCGATATATTATAGCAAGAATATTACATACCCCAAACACAAGACATGAAAGTCTGTTTGCCTGTCTGTCGTATGTCTGTCTGTTTGTCTGTCTGTCTGTCTATCTGTCTATCTATCTATTCGTCTGTCTGTCTATCTCTCTATCTGTCTGTCTATATATATATCTGTCTGTCTATTTTTTATTTGTCTGTCTATCTATCTGTCTGTCTATCAATCTATCTGTCTGTCTATCTATCTGTCTGTCTATCTATATGTCTGCCTATTTATCTATCCATCTATCTGTCTGTCTGATTGCCTGTATGTCTACCTATCTGTCTGCCTGTCTCATTGTCTGTCACTTTCTGTTTGTTTGTTTTTGTTCACCGTTCCTGAAATATCGTTTTATCGAGGGCCTCCCCATTGTCTTTCACCTGGAAAATATTTCAAAATGACTGCGACCGGTTCCGGAAGAGGATGACTGATAATCGTCTGGCAAAAATATGACATAATAGGCTTTTATTCCCTCCTACTCTACATCTGTTTGTTTTTTCTTTCTGTCTGTCTGTCTCTATTTGTCTGTATGTCTCTCTGTCTCTGTCTGTCTCTCTTTCTCTCTTCCTCTCGCTTTCTCCTTCTTCTTCTCTCTCTGCCTCTGTTTCTCTTTCTGCTCCACCTCTCTATATCCCTCTCTAATTTGTCTCTCTGCCCCCCCCCCTCTCTCCTTATCCTCCTCTCCCTCTCCCCCTCTCTCTCTCCCCTTATCCTCTCTCAATCTCAAATACTATTAACAGAAGTCCTCTCTCTCCTGAGACAAACACGTGTTCTTTTGAGGTCAAATATTCTATTCTTAAAACTTCATCATCCTGTCGCCTCTCTCTCTCTCTTCCGCGCCATTGTGTCAAGGTTTTCGAATTCCCGTAAAGTTTCATTCACGGGGATGCCTTGAAACACAATGCTCTTTCTGTCTGTCTGTCTGTCTGTCTGTCTGTTAGACTTTCTAATTCCCTCTTTCGTCATCTTGCACTCTCACTCCGTCTCTTTCTTCCTCTCTCATTTTTTCTCTCTCTATCTGTTTATCTATCTGTCTCTATCTCTTTCTTTTCCTCTCTCTCTCTTTATCTCATTTTCTCACTGTCTCTATCCCGCTCTCTTTTTCTTTCTCTCTCTCTATCTATTTATCTATCTATCTCCATCTCTTTCTTTTCCTCTCTCTCTCTTTATCTCATTATCTCTCTGTCTGTCTCTATCCCGCTCTCTTTTTCTTTCTCTATTTCTTTCTCTCTCTCTCTCTCTCTCTCTCTCTCTCTCTCTCTCTCTCTCTCTCTCTCTCTCTCTCTCTCTCTCTCTCTCTCTCTCTTTCTCTCTCACTCTCTCACTGTCTCTGGCTCTCTGTCTCCCTCTCTCTCTCTCTCTCTGGATGAATAGATAAATAGATAGATGGATAAATTAATGGATAACTAGGTAGCCAATTAACAGAGATAGAATACAGAAATGCAGAAATACGGACATACAGATATACAGACATATACTTACAAAGGAACAATAGAGCAAATGGTGCACTGGTAGACTGGTGGATAGATAGTTAGCAAAATATAAATATATACAGATATATAGATAGATATATAGATATATTGATGTGGACATTTATGCACATAAATACATAAATACATACCTTCATACATGTACAAAATGGGTATATATCAATGTATCTCTATGAACACCCACACACACACCCACACCCACACACACACACACACACACACACACACACACACACACACACACACACACACACACACACACACACACACACACACAGACACACACATACACAAGACAGATGCATATATGCTTATCTGCGTCCTGAAAAAACATACATATAACCATGGTTACCAACACACAATAAGAGTAATAGTAATAACAACGACAACAGTATTACTAACAATAGTAATAACAGTGTTTTTTAATAACGATAACAATAACAGTGATAACAGCATTAACGAACTTAATAACAACAATTATGATAATGATGTTTTTTTTAA